CCAAACCTACACTAAAAGAAGTTGAACAATTCATCATATAGATTCCCAATAACAAAACTTCAGGATCTGACTGTTTACCTGCTGAAAATTAGAAACATGCAAGCAAAGACTCACTGCAAAGATTGCGTGAGGTACTGCTACTCTGTTGGAAGGAAGAAACCATTCCGCAAGATTTGAAGGATGGTCATTTCATCCAACTCTATAAAAAGAAAGGAGCCAGAAGTTGCTGTAATAACCACAGAGGTATCTCTCTTCTAAACATGACAGGAAAAATTTTAAGACATATTCTTTTACCTAGACTTCAAACATTAGCTGAAAGAATTTATTCTGAGAGCCAATGTGGCTTTCGCTCGGAAAGGTCCACCACAGATATGGTCTTCGCTGTAAGACGACAGCAGGAAAAGTGCAGAGAGAAGCGTATCCCACTGTAAATGGCTTTTATAGATCTAACAAAAGCCTTTGACATGGTTAGTCAGTCAGGGCTTTACACTGTTCTAAAAAAGCTTGCTTGTCCACCTATACTGCTAAACCTTGTGAAATCCTGACGTGATGGCATAAAGGCAACTGTAAAGTATGAAAACCAAGAGTCTGACTTGTTCAAGATCAACAATGGAGTGAAGCAGCGCTGTGTACTGGCTCCCACATTGTTTAACATTTACTTCTCGTTCCTCCTTCAACACACATTCCATGACGTCTAGTGCTGTGACAGGCACCCTCTCAAACATGATGGAGGATTGTTTAACATTGCAAGGTTCAGAGCTAAGACAAAGGTAAAGGAGATTGTTGTAAGGGACCTGGTGTTTGCAGATGATGCAGCCCTTGTGACTCACACTGTTGATGCCCTACAACATCTCATTACCAAGTTCTGACTCATGCACAATCTTTGGGCTAGCAAAAAGCTTGAAGAAGACTGTTATCATGCACCGAGGCTCTTCAGAACTCATTCCTGAAATCATCCTAGATGGTACCTGTCTGGATGCTGTTGACCAATTTTTCTACCTTGGCTCTACTGTTACCAGCAATGTAGATCTTGATGCTGAGCTCACTGGCAGAATCAGCAAAGCAGCCAGGAACTCTGGCCTTTTGTGAAACAGAGCCTGGAACAATAACAAACTGTCAATTAAAGTGAAAATCTATTTATGAGACATGTTTTATTCACTCTTCTATATGGCTCAGAAACATGGACAACCTATGTCAAACATATGCAGCTTTCATATCAGATGACTATGTAAAATTCTTTGCATAAGATGGCAAGACAGGGTGATAAATGTGGAAGTGTTAAATTGTGCTGCTATGTCACTCATGGGAATGTTGGTCATGTCAAGCAAATACAGGATCACAGGATCCCAAAGAATGTGCTGTACTCTGAAGCTTGCAAAGGGTCTAGAAAGAGAAGCAGACCGCTGCGCAGATTTCGGGATGCTTGCAAAGATGACTTAGCATCCTTTGGAATCTCTGTGGGTGATTGGGAAAGGAGTGCAGAATGCTGCTCTGGCTGGCAGAGTCAGCTTGCAGATGGAGCAAGGCACTGCAAGGCAGACTGGATCAAGTTTTGTGATGACCGGCATCAGAGGAGGAAAGAATCTGTTGCTTGGATTCAGAGCGCTGCTAGTGCATGGGTGTGCCCTACCTGTGGGCACACCACAGCACTCACCAGCACGTACACTATGTTCCATAAAGAGCAATGGTGCCAACTGTTTAGTACAAAAATCAGTAACTTCTACCAGGGTAACTTTGTCAGAAAACCAAGGCTCTGTCTGTACGAGGGCTGTAACAGACTTTGATCTTCTGTGTTCAAAGCACAGAGGCACATGTGTAATGTACAATCACTAGTGTTATGCTAATTCTTGCCCACTGACCATTACTTTATGCCCACAGATGGAAACAAACTTCTGCACTCTGAAGAACCCAAAACATATAACTTTAAAAGGCATTTTCTGTTTGCTTTTGTAGAAATCTACATTTCTCCAGCTGCCAGCTTGAATAGCTCAGCCATAAGCACATCGTCAGGCACCATCAATTAGAACTAACAATTGCATAGAAAAATATAAAAAAGAGACCTTCTATGTTGGCTACATAGCATTGGATAATGAAGACTCCTAAAATGTACTCAATAACGCCTTGTCTAGACGAGGACAAGCCTAGCCCAACTGCTCCCTCCGGCTTGATTAACTCACTCCATCCACACTCTTAACCCACTGAGAGTCTGTAACTTGACCAAACCAGACGTCAGGTAACCCAGGAGAAAGTGAAAGCAGTATTCCCCCCCTTGTGTTGGGTTCAATCATGTCAGTGCTGCTGTAGCTGCAGGCAATACAAAGCTACAACACTGATCTAAGTCAGTCCTTCAGTGCTACTAAGTATTGCCCAATGAGACTGCCTATCTGCCCATCTCCCTGCTCAGCATCACAATGCTCAGCTTCTTTTTCCTGCGCACCTGCACCTCACTCTGGGCACCTTCCTTAGACAGCTCATTGAGCATTTTCATTAGCTCTGATAGGAATAAGATGCCCATTTTGCTTATAGTCGTACAAGGAATCCAGGCTCACAAGCCTCTGTGCAACAGGCGGGTAGGACACAGACAGGCATCTGCCCCTGTGACCTGCTGGGCTTGCCGAAAGGATGGATTACAGGAACTTTCAAGCCAGTGCCTTTTCTGTGAACAATCAGAAGTAAACAGTTGAGAAGTGCCACCGGGAATTCTGGCTGCTTGCCCACAAGCCACTCTCTCATATCATCACCACATTCAAACACACAAACACAGGGAAGTTGAACAAATACCAGACGCATGAGTAAAGAATGCAGAGTGAGAGTGCAGTTTGCTGGGTTAACTCTGATTAGTATAAAAACTGAATGAATCTGGACAAGAAGTGTCACCATTTAAATTACTCGGCTAACTCCAGGGCCCACTGCCCATACCCTAATCCTCCCTGCTACAGCTCCCAAATACAGTCAATATTTGGAAGATACCAAGGAACAAAAGCCTAATCAGTTATGAACTAGAAACAGCTGGTTCTGAGTGACAAATGAAAAATTCTTAGCATGAATCAAGAGAACATGGTAGATTGCATTGTACTTCCTTGTACACCTTTACACATTCTAGAACCCACCCAGCTACTCAACAAAAGCCTATAAAGGGTATTTATCTCCACAGAGTCACCGCTAGGCAAGTACTCTACACCCTGAATAATGATTTACTCTGTGATTTCTACTCAGTGACTACCAAAGAAGAAGCCAGAGGTGGGATTAGGATCCCGATGACAAACGCTCTTAACAGGGCAATTTCACCAGCTCAAATTCAGATGCAGGGGGCGGGGGTGGAATTTCCAAAAAAATCTAAGGGACGTTTGAGCAAAAATTCCTCTGAAGGAACCAACCTCACCCACACCTTCAAGTCGTGGGATCTGAGCTCTCAACTTCCTTAGACGTTTAACAAGTGCCTCCAAGTGCTGAGGTTGGAAGAGGCTACTCGGAGAGGTGGTGAATGTCTATCCTTAGAAAATTGTAACAGGAGATTAAACAAGCACTAGGCTGGGATGGTGTAGCCAAGGAGGTGCCTACCTTGAGCAGGGTGTGGGACTAGATGAACTCCTGAGGGCCTTTGCAGCCCTACTTTTCTATGATTCAACCTTATGTATAGTCAGACCCCACTTTCAATGCGCTGCATTAATGCCAGCCCCTATTTACTGCAATGCAGTGAAACCGAACTGGCACAAAACATCCCGGGGTGTGCACGAGTCCCGAGTGCAATTCCTAAATCTTTGACATGTAGTGCAAATATTACCTGGTATACTAAGAGGATCACACCCATTATCCCTAGTGGGGAAAGTAGCAAAGAGGCTGCATGGCAATTTGGGGAATCCCTTTATAAACTGCCTACATGTTCTGGCTGATGTCAGGAAAATCCCTGAATCCAGAAAGGGAAGCTTATGTCATGGGTGACCAGGGTTGCAGCCCAATCCCCTCAGACCAGGAACATAAGCAAGAGCTCAGCTGCTGCCCGTTCAGGAGAAAAAGCATCTTGGAACAAGGAAGAAGCTGAAGATGCAAGTACAGAGTGGAAAATCCCCAAATGCACAAGAAATTGAACTGGCAAGGCTGCTTTTTAGATACCACAGAGGTGACGCACCCACCCGAGAGCCTGGGTAAACACTTAGTTGCTTAGCTGGCAACTCCGCTGTGGCAGCAACACCATAACCAGTACGTGGCCTGGCTGACCACCAGCTCGGGTACGTCGGCACCAGCTGCGGTCACACCTCCGACCGCGGCACAGACGTCCCCACAAACCTGGGGAAGAGGTGAATCCAGGAGCTCTGCGGAAAGCAGGGCGGGTACGAAACCCGAGTTTGGATTCACCTCGCTAACCCGAGGACCCTCGAATCACTCGAGACGCTCTGAGAAGACTGTCACGGCAGGCACGTCCTGCTCGCCGAGTTATCCGGGCTGTGGGGGGGGAAGTCTTTAACTAAGACCCACACTTGCTCGGAGAGTTATCCCGGGTGAGGGGGGGGGAAGTCTTTAAATCAGGACCCGCGCTCATTTGGAGAGTTACCAGGGCAGGGGGGAGGGTCTTTAACGAGGACTGACACTTGTTTGGAGAGTTATCCAGGGTGAGGGGTGGGAGGAAGGTCGTTAAATCAGGACCCACAGTTGTTTAGACAGTTATTCAGGGGGGAAAGGTCTGTAATTAGGACCCACGCTCATTTGGAGAGTTACCAGGGCAGAGGGGAAGGTCTTTAACGAGGACTGACACTTGTTTGGAGAGTTATCCAGGGGAAAGGTCTTTAACAAGACCCATGCTCATTTGGGGAGTTATCCAGGGTGGGTGAGTGGGGGGAAGGTCTTTAAACGAGGACCCAGGCTCGGGGCGCAAGCGGGGTGCCGGGCGGCTGCGGGCCCACAGGGCTCATCGAGAAGCGAAGCCTCTAGAGACGGGGGACATCGGAGCGAGCCGGGCCCGCCGCGGAGAGGGAGGCCCGGGCGGGTGGGGCCGGCCTCACCGTAGATCATGGCCAGGCCGGTCTCGTGCAGGAAGCGCGCGCGGCGGTGCTTGAAGAGCCAGATGGTGAGGATGGTGAGGGTGAGCAGCAGGATGAAGATG